CCCATTTCTTACACTGGGACTAAATAGAGTTGCATGTGAGAGGAAAAGAAAAAGATTTTCACATGCAAATGGCAAAATCAAGGTCAAAGTGGATCATTTGTCTTACTCTGCAGTCAGGCCAGTTGAGCTGGCCAAAGATAGCCACCTGGAGGAGGAAATTCAGCAACGACTGCATCTAACATACTCTGCCTTCATTTCACGGGCCAAAGGTGGAAGGATGACATCGGAGAAATGTAATCAGAGTTATTGCCGAAGGAGATGCTAGTAAGGACATCTTAGATCCTTTAAGGATGAAGCTGACCCTAGGAATGTTTTACAAAGCAATAAAACCCCAAACTGTATTTGAAGGGTACATAAAAAATTGAATGAGCTCACTTGAGGCGTCTTCTGCCTTCAGGAAATACCACACCTAAAACAGACGCCTCTTCATCACCACCCATAAAAGTACAACATTTCAGCAGTGATTTGGCAATTTACATGCCAGGAAAAGGTTATAATCCCTGAGCACATTCAATTATATTTGAAATAGAAATCATAGTCTAACCTAAGTCTGACTCTAGAGCACACATTCCTGACCACCATGTACACTGCCTTTTGTGTATGCTTCACTTATCTCTTCTTTTAATAATTTTTTCTTTTGGATTAGAAAAGATACACAAGGTCACTGCAGACATTCTGGAAAATTGAGAGAACCATAAAGAAGAAAACAAACATTATCCACAATTATACCACTCCGTTGTACACTGTTAAATTTTTTGCTGTAGAAACTTCTAGTCTTTCTTCTGTAAGAGCATTCAAGAGATGGTAGTTGGAAGCTTCTGCCCATACCCCTGGGCTAGAAGTGTCTCCTCAAGAGCAGTCTTAGTTTTCATTACACACACACGTGCTCTATTTAGGCATTTCATTGGCAGCATTTATCGCTTGGGCTTACCCAGCAGGCACATGTGACTGTCAACTACCTACCCATTTCCGCCAAGTTCGAGTATTCTTTCCTCTGGGATCATGATCCCTTACTCAGCTCAGGGACAACCTGACATGTTTAATATTTTCCTTATAAGTCTGTTCTCCTTGTAAGGGAGTGGTTCATAGGGGGTCAGAGAGACTTAAGAAAAAGGCTAAAGGGAGCTTCTTGGGCAAATTCTTTGCTCCAAGACAGACACACAGGAAAAGATGATCTTTTCTTACCCTGAATGTTGTCTTGTGGGGATTGATGGCTGGAACAAAAGGATCATTCTGAGAGCCTAAGAAGAGTTCATTGGAAAACTAAGCCAAAGGCGCCCTCACTGATCCAGATGTGGAATCTATTCAGATGACGTCTTGCAAGACACTGGATACAAAACAGACTGTTGCAAGCAAAGAGAACTTTGTAGAATATGTATCATATGATCCCATTTACACAGCAGGATAGATGTAAATACTCTGAGAAGCATACAGAGGCTCTGGAGAAACGTTGGCAGGAGTTGCCTCTGGGACCCAGAGAAATCAGTGCTTCGAATTGTTAACCTATGTATGTTTGTATTGTTTGAAGCTTTTATGAAAGCATGCATGTATTGCTTGTGTAATCATCTAAACATTTTAATTTTTTAAAAGTACACATGGTTTCTCTTTTATTTGAAACGTGTACTAGAAGCTCAGAGCATTTTTCTAGGGGGAGGAAAAAAGTTCTTCAAGTTATTTTTGGTTTCTGTGGGGATTGCCTGTATCTCACAGCTTAATCATCAGGCACATTAACTTGGCAGCTCAGAATGCCTTGTGTTTGTCGGCAGACTTTCCTATTCCATAGGATGAGCCACAGGGAGCTTGGAAAATTGGTTCAATTTGTCTAAATTGTAAGGTGGGACAAGCTGATAAACCCCTTCTGTGAAATCAGGTCGATAGGCATTCGATTAGCATTACCAGAGCGCTGACAGCTCCAGAAAGGAGTGAGGCATAGGCTGTATCTCCATGGAATGGAGAGTGGGTCACGGTTCCCACATTAGAACCACAGGCAATTCCAGGTGAAATGGCTCACACCTGTTATCCTAGCACTCTGGGAGGTTGAGGCGGGTGGATCCCCTGAGCTCAAGAGTCTGAGACCAGCCTGAGCTAGAGCAAGACCCCATCTCTACTAATAATAGAAAACCTAGCCAGGCATTGCAGCGGGCTCCTGTAATGGAGGGTGAAGCAAGAGGATTGCTTGAGCCCAAGAGTTTGAAGTTGCTGTGAGCTATGATGATTCCATGACACTCAACCCAGGGGGACAGAGTAAGATTTTGTCTCCAAAAAAAAACCCCCACTGGCAAGTGACCATGTTAGAACCTCCATTGTTAAAATACAGGTTGCCAGTCCCCACCACCATTGACTGAATTATAATTTCCAAGTATGGGCCCTGAAAACCTGAATTTTTTTGCTATATGCAGATAAAGTATGAGAACTACTTCCTCTGTAGGTAAACTGGACTCATCAAAACAGTCCCACAGGGTTGAGATGAGACAGGTGGTTACATCTCGATTACCTGGATGCTCAGAGCCAAATAAGCAACTCAGCTGCAGCCATGTGACTTTTTAGAGCCGTATTTCGGTTTCCTGGCACCATTTCACTCTGTCTTCTTCCACTCCTCTTGGTCACCTCTGATGTCCCCTTATGAGCTACTAAGAGCTTTCTGGGACATGGAAGGACAAAAAATAAGTAAGTATGTGCATACCCAGCTGTCCAGTAAGCGCTTAGCCGGATGTTGTACTAAGTGCATCCATCCCGTCACATCACACGTAATCTCCATAACAAGCCTAAGATCAGGTAACCCATTTTACAGATGTGAGAAACTAGGGTTTGGAGAAGTTGAGTAATTTACAGAGCAAGTGCTGGAATTTAACTCTCTGTGGTTCTCATGTCCATTTTCTTAAATGTCTACTACTTGTCCTGGAGTAGGTAAACAGTGGTGGCCCCACACTTTTCCACATTTTTTTTTTTTCTGGCTGGGGCTGGGTTTGAACCCACTACCTCCTGCATATGGGGCTGGCGCCCTACTCCTTTGAGCCACAGGTGCCGCCCCGCCCCACACTTTTCATATAAGACTGGGTCTGGGGCTGCAATCTGAGTGGAAAAGGGCAGTTGGGGACTTGCTTACTTTGAAGCTTTTTTCGCATAACTTGACTGATATTTTTACTGAGATTTTATTAATTTTGAAGATAGTGCTTTTATGAACACATGAATAAAATCTGTCATTTGAGGGCCTTATTTGTCTTATTTAAGGTATTTATTCATGGGGGGGTCACAAGAGCTTATCTGTAGTAGTGTAGGCACTGTAAATAAACTAGTGAAACTGTGTCATGTCAATTTCATATAAAGTTCTCTTTTCAGTACTCTTTGGGGATTGGTTGGGGGTAATGAATACATTTTTATAGAAATAAGCCTCCCCTCCAGTTGTTACACATTCCCTAGAGATACCGATTGTGAAAGGTGCAGATACACTCTCACACACACAGGTACAACCAACATAAAATGCCATCTGCTTCATTCATATAATGATATATATCTTGGATACAGAACTTATTTCATTCAAAGTCTACCATGCAAAATTTTGGCAGGCCTAGAGGCCACAGGATGGGAGGTGACGCTCTGAGCGAGAAGTCTCCACCTTCAGCCAAGCGCAAGGTCGGATAACCAGTAGGACTGCCACCGTAGCGACCAGCGCCCTCCCCGCCCTAAACGGCGGGAGGGAGGAAGTGGGAGGCTGGGAAGCTCCGCTGCTCTAGCCCGGAGTCCCAGCTGTTTTCCCCCAGCTGAGACTGCAAGGAAAGTTAACCCACAAACGTGAGCCCTCCTGAGACCTGGCCGGGCCCCCGACCCCGGAACTTCCCCCACCGCGGAGTGCGGGGGCCGAGGGCAGGATCGGAAAAGCCGGCCCGCGCGGGTGACCTGCAGGGCGCGGGGACCGCCTTGCTGCAGCGCCCTCTGCCGGCGGCTCCGGGGACGGCGTGGACTTGTGGGTGTACCACCACGTTACTCCTGTCCAAGTGCAGACGGGGTCTTTGAACGCCTGATGTATACCTTTGCACACCTCTTAGCAACTTTACATTCCACTGGGAGAGATATGTTTATTTTATCAATCCTACGAATCTGCACAAAGCTCCTGAGGCCATAGACTTGTGTGTAAATGAAATGAGGACATAGTCTGGGTACCCAAGGAGGTGTGCCTAAATGTGGTTCTCTGTGTGCCTGCCTGTGGGTATTTCACGGTCTGCTCCCATCTGTCTCCGTGAGCGCGTACCTATGGGTACAGGATGTGTCTATGCACATAAGTGAGCCTTATTAGTGGTACACACACTTTCTTCATGTCCCCAGGGCTGAGTCTATATGAATGTGCATGGGTGTGTTTGTATGTGTGGTCCCTGGAGCCACGATGGGTGGTGATGGTATGCTTCCAAAATCCAGATGCTAAAGGAAAAATGTGGGGAAAGATGTCACAGATACACTAAACCCACTTCCCTTCATTTCATCCCCTCTGCCTTGGGGAGAACCAGAGATCTTGACTCTGGTCATCCAGCTCACAGATGCTACCATCTGTGGTACCATCTCTGGTCATCCAGCTCACAGATGCTACCTCCTAACGTGAACTCAGCCTCCTGCCTGACCTCCTCTTGAGCTTCCTTCTTCCCCAGGCCATGGAACCCAGGGAGGCTGCTTCGTGCTGTCTTTAGGAGCTCTGGCCATGATGTAAACCCAGAGAAATCAGCATCTCCATCTCCTTCCTTTTTCCCCACCCGAAAGTCATTTCCTCTTTGTTCATTACCTGGGATTTTGATGTTTCCTTTCCCTCAGCATTATTGATACACAGAAAGGGGGAAAAGGAACTTCTTGAAATTCCCCCAGAAGGTTTTGAGAGTTGTTTGCAATGTTGCAACTTGGAACAAGTCAGTTTCTAGTTTGAGTTTCCATCAGAGAGCTTGGTAAGAGAAGAGTATATAAACTCCAGTAGCAACAGCAGCAGGAACAGCAGCAGCAGAAACACCATTTCAGGCCCGTTGAACCCTGTACCCTGCCCAGAGCAAGGTAAGCGCCTCCCTGTACCCCCAGTCCTCCCCAGGGCCCATTGCTGTCCAGGTGTCAGTGTGCTACCCTGGCAGCACCCCTGGTGACTCACCTGCTGGGACACACATGAAAACTCAGTACTTTGGGGACTGGTGTATAAATTGTCAGTTTAGAAAGTCAACTAATAATAATTATGTATGAAGGTTTGTGAATAAATGTATATTTCATAGAAAGGCTTTTTAAATCTTATCTTATTTTGAAGTGATATGTATATAAGGTGTGTTTCTAAATATTAATGCCCATGAGTTAAAGGATTATTTAAATTCAGCAGTGCTTGCCTTAGTATTGAAACTTTTAAAAATGTCTTTCATGCGTTCCTAAAAATAACTGAGTTCACAGTTATACTTCTCAGCTGTGTTACCGCTCACCCTTGCTGCTCCCGTATTTGGATGGGCTTGGTAGTCAGTTGTGGTATCAGCCAAACCGACAGCTGGGTTCCCCAGTTCTTTGGAATTAACTAACTTTGGCCCCAAAAAACAATTGTAATGTTTAAAACTGTTTTCTGAAGAATTCTTAAATGTATGAGAAGGGGGGGAAAGATAAAAATATTTACCGTTCTGATGTCTCGTACTTGCCCAGGTATATTGTGTGTCATATCACGATCAGGTTAAAATATCACTCTACCAGGGAATTTCAAAATCTTAGCATTCAATCTGAGAATGGGATCTGAATTTTTTATTGGGATCTGAATTTTTTTTTTTTTTTTGAGATGGTCTGACTCTGTTGCCTGGGCTAGAGTTCAATGATTATAAAAGCCATGCTCCCGCCTCAGCCTCCTGGGTTGCTGAGAATACAGGCACAAGTGCCACCACGATAATTTTCCCACCTAATTTTTTTTATTTTTTGTAGGGACAGGGTCTCGCTACATAGCTCAGGTGAGGATCCGAAATTTTATGATTTCTGTACATTCTTTCATTCTTCTAATAATGGATAGAATTACTCTAGGCTGAACTTTAGGGATAAAGTGTAAACCAAGGCAGACGTGACCCCTGCCATCAAGAGCTCAGTGTGGCAGAAGATGAGCCTTAAAGACGTAACTATTACTGTCACTGTAGGAGAAAGAGGAGAGAAAATATGGTCCTGGACACCACACTGCATACCTTGACTTGTTTATTAACTCCTCACTGTAATAGAATCACCATTTTACAGATTAAGAGTGTGAGGCTGAAAGAAATGAAGTGACGTACCCAGGGTCACACAGTGAATACGTGGCAGAGCCAAGATGCTAAAATTCTGGAGGTCTACCTGCCTCTAAAACGGGGCATGTGTCCATGCCATCTGTGACTGGGTCTTTTGATTCTTTTTTAATAATAATTCTCTTTTCTCATTAAAAAGTAACAAATAAAATGTGTCATTGGTATGCCTTTGTTGGCACAAATGTAAAAGAGTCCTTAACATAACCCAGATAATAGGAATGCCTGACCTGTGTTCCCTTTGTCTCTCATGCAAGGGCCTCAAGGGTTTAAAAAGCTGCATTAAAAAATTTTTTTTATCCTCAAGATACTCAAATTTACCATGCCAAGAAAATGTGGACAGAGAGACCCAGCTCCCTAGTGTCAACTGTTTGGCCACAGGGCCAACAGGTGACCACATATTGCCTCTTTTTGTTTCTCTGACTTTGATTAAGGGGGTGACCCACCACCACCTCCACCCCAGCCACTTTTCTGTGGCTAAAAATGTAGGGGATACTAAATGGAGACTTGTTTCTTAGGACCATAGCCAGGGTGCCCTCACCCCTCATGCAGTTCACCTGAAAGTCTCAAATGCCCAGAGAGGAAATGCTGGGCACGCAGCCAACGGGGAAATCCCAGCATGAAGGGAATGTAAAGGAATCACCAGGAGATGCCAAGAATCTCCATTGTTTCTGTTCCCAGAGTACAATATCTGGGTTTTACAGACCCATGTAATTGCAGTACCTTCCTGGGCATTTCCCTACAGTCTGGCACAATGTTTTTGGCGAATTGTTGTATAAAAAAAAAAAGAGAGAGAGATCAAATTTTCGCCTTATCTCTTCCTCTAGGCACAAGCTAATATATTTTGGTTGCTTTCCATGTTGTGTCATCTTATTGCCTTTCCCAACAACCTTTTAGAAGATGAATATTACGTCCATTGTATAATTGAAGAGACTGAGGCTTGAAGAGTAAATTGCCCAACTTCACACAACTAGTGAGTGGTAGGACCAGAATTCAAGCCCTGTCTGCTTGACTCCATGCCTAAGAAGGTACTACCAAATTCTCTGTACTACCTAGCGTAACCTAGACTGATTTGATAACCATGCTCCTAAAACTTCATGCTTCAACGACAGAGAATTGAGCAGTATGTATAAGAAGGCCTGACTTCTAGTCCTGCCTCAGCCACTCACAAGCTTTATAATACAAAGGAATAAAGTACACAGCAGTGTCTCCCTTGGGGTCGCAGTAGTTCCAAGAAAGTGGTGATTTGTCAGTGTTCAATCACTTCGGTCAAGGGATGCCCATTTTTAAAGTATTTGAAACATTTGAGCCTTGTTCTTCATGTGATTTAGACCAGTGGTTTCTGAAAAGGTGTTCCCTGCTGAGCACTGCAAGGTGGATAAAGGCGCTCCCAAATGAAATCAGACAGTAATCATCTCTACTGAGTTCGATAGTGGAGTGTAATTTTTCCAGTCTGAAGAGTTTGATAAACTCTAGATACTAATCTAGACTAGGTTTTAATATAAGACGGTAGCTGATTTAGTATAGAACTACGCGTTTCATTATTTCGTGGTCAATGTATCAATATTTTTTGGTCTTCCCCCAAAGATACCTTGATTTCCAGGGGTTCTAGGCCCTGAGGCTGGGTTAACTCAGTGGTTCTCAAAGTGTGGTCCCAGCACTGCTAGCACCAGCTGCAGGGGGTAACTTTTAGAAATGCAGATTCTCTCTTTTTTGAAATGTAGTTTCAGGAAGAAAGAAAACAAGAAATGCAGATTCTTGGGTTTCCTTCATGAACTTGCTGAATCAAATACTAAAGAGGTGGGGCTCAGCAATCTGTTTTAACAATGCGTCTGGGTTATTCCAACATACACTCAAGTTTGAGAACCACCGAGTTACATGATATGGGAGGCAGTAATCTGTGAATTTGGAGCAATTGCGTGTAAACAAAAGAAACTGAGCCTCTCTCCAATAACAGCTGGCAACCAGGTTGTTGAACTTGAAAATTTGCCTCTGTATTACCTTTCCTGTCCCTAACGCAAGTCCTAAGGGTTGGCATGTCCCAGCATACGGTACCTGTTCTACAGTGACACAGGAGTGTGGCTTAGCTCCCCAACTGGAGGGGAGCCACTTAAAATGCTGACATAAATAAAGATTTGTCGAGTGAATGTATTTCCTCAACTATAAAACGGTATTACAAAGTGACACTTGCCACATGGGTTGCAGAAAGCAGGATTCAGGAAAAACACTTTTTATCTTTCCCAGCTGCTGAGCTAGGAGCTCAGTAAGCACCAAATAGATAACTCCCGAATGTTGATCCAGACAAGTCACGTTTCTCCTCTAAACTTTAGGCTTCTCATCTTTAAGGGAAGAGGATTGTGTCTGATGGCTGGCTTTAGTCTCCCTGCTCCAGGGCTCTCAGAGCCTATGGTTCTTTACGTGCAGATATGCTTGCCCAGAAACTGGCATAGGACTCCTAGAGTTTACTAGTAGCCTGATGGTGTGGAGAAGAAAGGGGAAAATGAAGATTTTAAAAAATTCACTGGAATGTATATATGGTTCCCAAAGATTACTAAATAAGTATTAATATTCTCTTTTTCCTTTCTCTTCCTTCTCTTTTTCTCTTGTTTCTCTCATCCCTTAAGATGTGTCATCGGCAGTTGGTCACCTCCTGGTTCTCCCTGGTTTTGCTAGCATCTCCCCTGGTGGCCATATGGGAACTGGAGAGAGATGGTAAGCAGCCACCCCTGATCTCTAGGGAAGCCCCTGAGTGTAAGGCAGGACTCTCAGGCAGCCACTGTCGGGAAACCAGGCAGAAACAGGCGACTGTGCATAGGGTCCTTCTAGGGAGAACCAGCCCTCTGGGAAAATGCAAGGCCATGGTTCCTTCTTTTATTTTGCAGGTATCTACAATGTTTTCTTCTCACATTGGATGCCAGAAAAGGAATTTTACTGAACAGTGGTGGGAAAGGAGTTATGGGCTTTGCCAGTATTACTAAAACCTAGCTGTTTCACACAATTAAAATTCCAAAATGAGGATTTGAAAAGTACTAGGACTATGTTCCACCAGCCATCATTCCACCACCCCACATTGCCCCGTCAGCAGGCACTGTGATGACTTACCTCTGAATCAGCACCTTAAAGAAAGCATAGGATTCAGACTCACATTGCCTTGGGTTCAAGTCCTGGTTATGTGACCTTGAGCTAGGTTCACGTAGGAGCCTGAGTTTCCTGAACTATAAAATGGTATTACAAAGTGACACCTATGCATGGGTTACTAAATGTGTTCATGAATACAAAAGACAACTCAGCAGGTGGTAAAATGAAAGTAAATGTTAGCCAGTATTATTGTTTAATTATTATTTTTATTTAACAATGTCTCTGATGATTCTAGAGAAACTTTTTATTATCCCACAATCAATAAAAATGATCAGTAGACTAATAGAATGGGTATTAGTAAAACAAGAGTCTCCCTCTATCCCTTTGGGATCTCATGTCAGTATCTATGCTTAACTAATTGCTGTTGTACCTGAAAGACCATCAGATACTTCTCATTAAAGCCAGCATAATAATGTTGCCAATTAGTCTTTAATGATACAGTGAAGAGAGTTGATATTTATGGAGCATCACATCTCATTTAATTCTCACAACAATCATATGAAGTTAGAACAATGTGTGCCCCATTTTGCAGATGCTGAAAATTGAGGCTAGAGAGATTAAGTAACTTGCCCCCCCCCCCCGTCACATACCTGATGAGGGTGGGACAGGAACTTGATCTCAATTCTGTTTCACTTCAAAGCCTGTGCATGTAAATATTTGAAGATTTTACAAGGACATGAAGCAATTACTTCCTGTGTCCTTGGATAGCTGAGCAAGAGGCAATAGGCATAAATTAAAGATAAAAAGATTTCAGCTGATGATCAGAAATCACCTTTTGATAGAGAGTGCTGCCCTGAAATGGGTGCCTGAAAGAAATCTGGGACCATTCCTCTCCTTTTAAAAACTATGAGAAGATGGCAATCCAGCCTACACCACCCTTGACTCTCCTGAGGCTTTGAGACTTTCGGACCCTCCCATAAATAAAGGCAAAAGCCCAGCCAGAGGACTAAGCCAGATCCCTTCCCACCCTGGGATTTTCAGTGAGCTCAGGAAACTTGGCTCTTGCTTATTTAACCACATAGTTACTTTTGATTTGGTAAACTATAGAAATTCCAGAAAGGCAATGTGAAAAACACTCAGAGGGGCTTGTGACTTGGGAGGCAGGATGACGAAGTGAATCTCAGCACCGGCTTCTTGGTGCATCCTCAGCTTTCCTCTGTGTTCCCTGCCCCTGGGCAAAGGGCTTCTGGGCCTACTGAGTCTTAGTTGTGATGAGAAAGTAACCGTGCTGTGCAGTCACCTGGGAGACAAAGAGAAAACAGGGAAAGCCAAAGGTGCTACCAGGTTCTATGTCAGCACAGCTAATCATTTCCCAAACTGGGCTCCAAGCGCTTATCTTTGTTACCTATTCAGTCCGTAAAAATCCCATTGATGTAAAATGAGAATTTCATATTCCAGAATGCTTTCCACTCAAGGCCAATAACAAGAACCTCCATTTATGGGGCATTTAAAGGTGCTGCATTAAGCTCTTATATGAATTAGTCAATATAATTCACCTCCTAAAGCAAGTACTAATATTTTTCTCATTTTAAAGCTGATAACACCAAAGTTTCAATTGATTAAATGTCTTGCCCAAGGCCACAAGGCAGGTGTGAGGGGTAGATCTGAGTCTAGATCCAGATGTGTGCCTCTTTGAGATCCAGGCTTTCAGCCACTGTGATTCAACAAACTGGAGCAGACATCAGAATCATCTAGAGAGCTTAAAGAGAGATCACTGGGTCCATGCCAAGAATTCTGATTCAGCAACTGAGAATTTGCAATTCTGACAACTTCCCGGGCAATGCTGCTAATGGTGTTTCAGTGATCGTACTTTGAGAACCATTGCTTTAGACTTTTCTATTCAATTAATAACTGATGCACAGATAAACGAATGTGTGAAGCTTTGAGGTGACACATGTCACAGACTCTTTGGAATAGTATACTAAGTCATTCCTCAAGGGCCAGTTTAGATGGTGGCATTAGGTATCCCTTGCAAAGCCTAAGAAACAGAAGGTCTGAGCTGTAGCTCTTGAACTTATAACTTAATATCACTTTGCTTCAACATTTGGCCTCAGTACCTTCCTCCATAACATGGGAAGGCTAGGCTCTGCTAGACTGCCTCATAAGAAAAAAAAAAACAGAGAATGAAAATCTCCATTGAATTTCATGCAGAAGGAACTAAATCCTTAAATCCCCATAGAAAATTGTTAAGAGAGTTTCTCGGTGCAGTTGGCTGGCTCTTTAGCGTGTGAATAACAATAACTAACACAGAATTTACCACGTTCAGATACCGAGCTAAGTGCTTTTTTCCTTTTAATTCTCAGCCAAATGTATGACACAGATATTCTTAGAATCACTTTACAGATGAGGGCATTGAAGCTTGTGGTGATTAAGCACCTTGCTCCAAGTCCCACAACCAGTTAGTGGAGACAGGATTTCAGTCCTGGTCAGTCTTTCCCAACATCCCGAGCTTTTAAACCCTATTTTCTTTTGCTAAATACTCTACCTGCCTTATTCCCATCTGCCAACTAATCAGAGGTTACTTCTCTGTTCCGTGACCACAAGCCCAGATTGGGCACAATGCCCAGCAATCAACTCGGCAGGCATTTGCCAAACGATGAGAAACGTTGTGGTTAGGCAGTGGGAATGCCCAGATGGTCACTAAACACAGTCCCGGGGTTGGTGTTGCTTATAGCCTGGTCTCGACTCTGTGTTCTCCAGTTTATGTAGTAGAGTTGGATTGGTACCCTAACGCCCCTGGAGAGATGGTGGTCCTCACCTGCGACACCCCTGAAGAAGATGGCATCACCTGGACCTCGGACCGGAGCAGTAAAGTCTTAGGCTCTGGCAAAACCCTGAGCATCCAAGTCAGAGAGTTCACAGATGCTGGCCGCTACACCTGTCATAAGGGAGGCAAGGCTCTGAGCCGTTCGCTCCTGCTGCTTCACAAAAAGGAAGATGGAATTTGGTCCACTGATATTTTACAGGACCAGAAAGGTAATTTTCTTGGATAGTGTCAGTTTTCCCAAAAATAAAAAATTGGGACAGGCAGGACAAGAATAATACAGTTAATGAGTTAGTATCAAGTCTTTTAGTGAAACCACCCAGAGTTTCCATTTTCATTTGCTTTCCTGGGCACTTTGGGTTATCAACCATCAAAATCTTATTTTGAGAGAGTCTCCTACTCAGTCTGAATGCTTGTCCTGAGGTTCTCTTTAAACGGCATTGATATATTTCCATTGGATAGCTAATGGAAATGAACTCATGTGTATAGAGTATAATTCAGCACTGGAGTGATACCCTTGAAAAGAGATTAACACGTCTGACTGATGGGTTAGGTGTGTGGTGTACTCTGCAGAATCAGGATCCAATTCGGATGCTCTCAGTCCTCACTGAGCCACCTGCTGGGGAAGTAGCATCTTGTTCCCATGAAATAAATGGACTAACTTTACCCTGATCCCATTTAGTGGCCTGTGATTAATCACGATCAAAATGTTTCTGAAAAAAATCCCCACTAAATATTGAATTTTTGTTCTTTTCAAATCCAGAACCTAAAAATAAGACCTTTCTAAAATGTGAAGCCAAGAATTATTCTGGACGTTTCACCTGCTGGTGGCTGACAGCAATCAGCACTGATTTGAAATTCAGTGTCAAAAGCAGCAGAGGGTAAGTGAAAGCACTCTGGTTTCTCAGCAGTTTGCTAAAATTGTTTCGTTAAGGAAATAAGGGCAAGCTATCCGTGATCTGTGAATTAACAATAAGGGGAAAACAAAGTCAAATCCACATTTTTTCAATGCCCCCTGCCTGGCATAAGTTGGGGAAGAACATGGAGATTTAAGTCGGTCACCTGAACAAAAGCATGTGTTAGAATAGGGTATTATCACAACAGGAAAATAGTCTCTGCTGTGTTCGAGCCCACTCATCCCAACTGCCTGGAAACACTTCTTTAAGGCTTATAACACTAGGGCAAGGGACACAAGGAGAATCAAACCTATAAAGGACTTGCCAAAATTACACCATGAGTCAAAAATGAAAACAAGAGCTTTAGTCTAGGTAATAGATCTTGGAAGCTTGAAAGCAGACTCCAAAACTCTGAAGCTTTCCAAAATTTTCCCAGGGCCACCCAAACTCCTTTTACTTCCTCTGGCTCTGCAAATCTGAAGTTCACTGTCCAACCCACTTGGACTTTCTCTAAGAAACCAGTTGCCCTGGACACAGAACCTATTGTTAGCCCCCTGTGTGACTGACTTCAGTCATCACCTAAGTTCGTGAGCAATGGAGGATAATGGATCCAATCGTAGGTGATGACCTGGTTTAGCCACTGTTTACCTAAGTAGCGGGAGCTTTGGAATCTCACTTTCCCTTCTTTAGAAGGAAAATGCTTACTAAAGAAATGCTTGTGGAATGGTTAACTAAAGCATGGTACACTGTATTCTGGCTTACTATGTAGTCATTAAAATGAATAACCCGACTTGTACGTTTTGAGGTGACAGTTTCCCATAGTATGTTTAGAGGTATAGTATTATATGCATATGCTTTGATCCTATTTCATAACAAATAAAATCTGTGTGTGAATTTACAGGTAAAATATACATGCATATGTACATGTGGAAATAACGATTACCTTGAATATTCATTGAAAAAGGTCTGGAAGGATAACCAAGCTCTGAATAGTATTTATATCTGGGGAGTGAGGTTAGGGTTGAGTAAGGGAGGAAGAAAGCACGCATTTATTCCTTTTATTCCAGTCTTGATTATTTTAATTTTTATAATTAGCATGCATTGATTTTTGAAATTAAAATTGGAAAATAAATTTAAATTTTTAATTTTCATTAGATCAGTGACTCTGAAGCTAAAAACTTCCATATTCATTTAGACCAGAGACACATAAGTGCAGGTTTCCAAACATTTATACTATGAAAGTTTTAAGATACACAAAAATCAAGAAATGTAAAATCCGTGTAGATGGGAACAAGTGAAGCCCCTCCAGCAACTCCCAGCTGAGGGGTCAGCTGGGAGTACCCCTCCAGTAAACTGAAAGCAACGCGAAGCACACTGAAACTCGCACAGGTGAATCAGAAAGGACATGTCAACTGTGTTTCTTGGAAGTGAGATAATGGACCCTAACACAGTCTATCTCAAAACTTTCGTAGTGACCCAGGTATTCCTTGAAACTAAGCATGTTCACCTAGTGGCAGCATTTTCTTACCCTGTGGGTAGAAAACAACCCATTTGGAGAAAGCGTGTCCTCAGACAGACAGTTGAGGCCCTACCTGCCTCTGGCTATAATCAATAAGCACTCACTGGCCAATGTTTGAGAGAATAATTTCTGCCTTTGATTCCAGCTCCTCTGACGCCCAAGGGGTGACATGCGGACTCCCTGCAGAGAGCGACCACGGAGAGTACAAGAAGTACTCGGTGGAGTGTCAGGAGGACAGTGCCTGCCCAGCGGCAGAGGAAACCCTGCCCATCGAGGTCGTGGTTGAAGCTGTCCACAAGCTCAAGTATGAGAACTACAGCAGCAGCTTCTTCATCAGGGACATCAGTGAGTTTCACATGATTTGTCACATGTTCTCAATGCCCCATGCGCTAGGGGAACAGGGGGTATTACAAGCATTATCTCTTTTATTTTGTGACCAGAAAAATAAGATGTAGATACTATTAGCTGCCTTTTAAGGAAGAGGATAGTGAGTCTTAAGCTAAGCAGCTTGCTCCAGATCTCACATCTCACAGTTAACAACTTAGACCCAGATCTGCTCTGTAGAAAAAGCAGGCTCTTTGAGACACTCCACTTCTGCTGTCCAGGTAGCTTCTGTGATACATCCCAGGGCCCCTCCAGCATATATTTACATTCAGAACCAGAGCTCCTCAACTCATTGCAATTATTCCCAGCCAATCTTTCTTTAGCGTTTGGAAAGGGACTTCTTTATTGGAATATAAACCCCTCCAAAACAGATGTCTATTTTTTAAATTGGCAGATAGAGATTTCACCCTTAATCAGGTCCTTTATCATTTACTTATAGCCCAGGCATCATGGTAAAGTGTGACAGAACCACACAACTTGCTGTAGAACCCATGGGGAGTCTGTACTTGGTGGGTGAGGGAGGGTGGGAGAGGGTGGGGTTCACATAGGGTGGTAGGGTCCTCATGTCATCTAAAGGGAAGGTGTCAGGTGTGTTAAGAACAGAGGGAAGAGCACTTTCAGAACCCCTGCTGGGAGCTGTGGTCTGTGTGTGGAGCAGTCTGGGCCTACAGGGCCCCAGCGCACTCCGTAATACCTCTCTCCCTTCTGTTAAGGACAGAGTCCTTGTGAGACTGCTGTATCCTTCACACATAATCCAGTGGTGGGAACACAATGGATACCCAGTAATTATTTATTTAATAAATGGATGGATGAGCAGAGAGACAATGGACTATAACCACTACAAGACAAGTCAGTGCCAGAAGCTGTGAAAAGACAAAGAAAGGGCAGTAACTGGAAAGTCTCTCATCTCATCCCCAGCAAGAGAGTCAGCTCAGTTCTGCATCTGGTTCAAAGTGAGGGATTGAGCACCAGAGGGTGCTCCACCACCCCACTGCCCGGATCTGAGAGTGTTCTTGTCTCTAAGCACTTTTTTCTGAGCAACAAGCAAAGGCAGTTCCACCACCAGGGCCCATCTGATTGCACAGTGATGACAATTCTGAGATCTCTCAGGTCCCGCGGTAGCAGACACAGTTGTCACTGATGACTGCTTCCCTGGGCACTGGCATGAGCGCCAGGGGCAGAAGTGCCTCACATTTGCCAGCTTGGCACTCAGAGAAGTTAAGTAACTATCCAACGGAGTCACAGCAGGGCAAGATGCAAGTGGGATCAGAAGCTAAAACCACCTAACTTCCCAGCCCCATTAGGAAAATAAAGGGTGTTTATCCTCTTCCACAGTCAAACCGGATCCACCCAAGAACCTGCAGCTGAAACCACTGGGTTCGGGGAATGTGGAGGTCAGCTGGGAGTACCCCGACTCCTGGAGCACTCCACATTCCTACTTCTCCCTGAGATTTGTTGTTCAGGTCCAGGGCAAGAGCAAGAGAGAAAAGGTAAGAAGTGATTCCGGTGCAGTATATTCTTATCAAAGCCCCCATGAGGGAGAAGATGAATGATGACAGTCACAACAGTCATATATCACTTAACAATGGGGATACGTTCTGAGAATTCCGTCATTGTGCAAACGTGATGGGACAGCCTCCAATACACATCCTAGGCAGCCCTATTGCTCCTGGGTTACAAACCTGTACAGCATGTTGCTGTACTGAATACTATGGACAGCTGTAACACAGTGGGGAGTATTTGCATATCTAAACAGAAAAATTACAGTAAAAATACAATACCAGAATCATCTGGTATCACCCTTATATATTTGGTCCTTCTATGACTGAAATATCTTTATGTGGCACACACTACATATTTAGCACTTTCCATGTGCCTAGAACCATGATAAGGGTTTTCCACTTAATCTACACAATTAACCTTAGGAAGACAGTCAGTACTACTGCACCATTTCACAAGTGAAGACATTGGAGCTCAGAGAGGTTACATGACTTCCTTGAGGTTATACAGCTAGGAAGTGACAAAACCAGGACACAAACTCAGTCTGCCAAGAACAAAGTCCATGCCCCAACCACCCACCATCGTCAATAAGGTTGGTCATCAGTGTTGGCACTCAGAATTGGCCTTGATATAGGACACCTGTGCTCCAGGAGCCTAGCAGTATTGTTCCAGCTGAGTGCATATAATGAACATGCATGCTATATCTCAGCCACAGTGGCCAACAACCAGATATTGTGAAATTATTTTACTAAACAGGATGTCAGCACTTACATAGGCTAAGACAATGTCTTTCCAACTTTCCTGCCTTACATCAGAACCCCTTTGCCTCTTACAAGCTTCTAGAGGCACATTTTCAGAGCCTTGGCCTTCTGTGACCTCACTTTTTATTTACTTTATTTTATTCTTATTTCATTTCATTTTAGTGAGACTCTGTCTCACTTTGTTACTGTGGGTAGAGTGATGTGGTATCATAGTTGACAGCAACCTCAAACTCTTGAGCTCGAGCAATCCTCTTGCCTCAGCCGCCTAAGTAACTGGGACTACAGGTGCCCACCACTGAGCCTGACTAGTTTTTCTGTTTTTATTAGAGACAGGGTTGTGCTTTTGCTTAGGCAGAGCTCAAACAATCCATCTGCCTTGGCCTTTCAGAGTGCTAGAATTATAGGTGTGAGCCACCACACTCAGCCTCTGACCCCACTTTTAAAGTCACCAGGCAAAGATCTAATTCAGCATGCCATCTAGCATGTGGTAGAAACTTAGTGATTCACTCATTCCCTGAAAAAAATTAGGGGGGGCTTGGAGGGAGAAGCCTTTTCTGTACTAGATTTTACCTAAATACAGTAAAGCCTCTATAAGTTGACCACGCAAGGGACTATAACCACTGTCAACATATGGTAGTGGACAACATAAGCAACTAGGCCTACCATACTGATATATGTATGTGGTACATGTCTGGTCTATGAAAATTTGGTCAACTTAAGGAGGTGGTCTATCTAGGGAGGTGGTCCAGTATGGAGGTTCTACTGTATTATTTTAAAACTTGACAAGTATCTTCTCTATTTAAAGTACATATCATTAGTAGTTGAGTACTTTTATACACTAAAGCCTTGCTAAGTGGTAATACTGGGTATTACCTTTAACATTTACAGTTCTACAAGGTAGGCATTGCTGTTATCCCTCTTTAGAAATGAGGAAACAGACACAGCCTGAGACATTCATCTTACATAGCTGTTAAGTAGCAGTGCCAGGATTTGAAGGCAGGTTTGTCTGATGAAAAGATCAAGAGATAAACTCATGAAGTTGGGGAGAAAAAAAATAAGAAAATAAGAGATCAGGATATGATATCTCTGAAGATCCAGGATATGGCTAGAGAAAATCTGTCTCCGTCCTACCATCAGCCTAGGACTGGGGTGACTGCCCCCTCCAACATGGGCCAGGCGAGCTGTGCTAGAAAGATGACAGTTTACAAAGTAGAAAAGCTGCAGTTCTGTTTGAAGCTTCTGCCAGTAGGTGGTGCAAGTTCTCTGTGCTCCCTGTGAAGTCCAAGTGTAGTACCCTAACAGCAGGGATCTGCATGTTTGGGGAGGTCATGCTTTCCAGAAATATGCTCAGCCTCCCTGGCGACGGTGTTGCCAAAGGACAGTAGACCTTCACAGATTTCTTTCTCGTTAGCAGAAAAATACAGTCTCCACAGACAAGACCTCAGCCACGGTCACCTGCCCAAAGCAGGCCAGAGTGCACGTGAAAGCCCAGGACCGCTACTATAGCTCATCTTGGAGTGATTGGGCAACTGTGTCCTGCAGTTAGGTGAGCAGACCCTGGGATGTTCAGCCCTGACCCCCACACTCAGGGTTCCCAGGTGTAGGGGAAAGGTGGGGGAGAGGAACTGAGGATGGGGTGCCCAGCACACTATTGCCAGAATCCGAAATATACATTTTTGCTCATTAACAGGGAGTTATTTGACACTTATGGTAAACACCGTGCTGGGCACAGGGATACTACAGTAAAGAAAACAGGCTTGGGTCCTGCCTTCCTAGAGGGGAAGGCAACAAAGAAGACAAGGTAGCCGGGAGTCAGGGCCTGCGGGACTGGCACACATCTGGGAGTTAGAACCTTGTGTCAGAGCCCTGGGGAGCCACTAAGGGTTTTCAGCAAGGATGGCAAGCATGATACAGCCACATTCTAGGCCACATAAGAAACCCCCCCAAACCCAGTTGTCTGGGAGAATGTGATATCAGGAGGAAGAAGGGTTCCGTGCTGCTCGTCGATCCTGCATAGACTTTCGACGTTCTTTTCCAGGTGCTGATCCTAGGGTGAAACCTTGGAGGAAAAGTGGGAGAGCGTAGGCGAACTTTTTTGAAGACACAATGGAGAAGACCCAAAAAGATATTTTCCACTAGATTTACTTTTTACATTTTTTTTTTCAGGATCACAATATTGTCTTTGCTGCATTTTTATGGTTGGAAACAATCCAGCTAATTTTTATGAAGAGTTTTTTCAGCTTTCAATTTGCCGCCCGCCTTAACGTTATTTAAATATTTAAATAATTTATGTATTTATTAATTTATCACTGTTATTTAACATTTGTGGGCCAGAATACTTTGTTTCATACCCTCATGACCCAATCCGTAAGGAAAAGGGCCTCTATTATGCAAAATGTGAATCTGAGTGTTATTTATACGGCAGGAAGGCTGCTTGTACGTCATTTTTACAACACCCCCCTAAGAACAGAATGTTCTCACAGCAGTTCATATATCTGCGCAGGGCGGGGACACAAGAGACATTTAGACAGAGGCATGAAGACCAAGCCCTGTTGAGAAGTTCCTGGAGAAGGAGCCGCTAATTCCCACGTACAAAGGCATCCTTGAAGTGTTGCTGATAAAGCAATTCAGGACCCCCTGCCCTTCTAAGCAAGTTTAGTCTATGGATACCTGAATTTTAAAACGGCTACAAAAAGAAAAGAAAAAGATTGAAATTAAAATTCACCGTCAGCTTCCATGGCAGTCCCCGCCCCTCTCTCTCTGTAAGACACAGGAGGGAAGGACAGAGCCAATCTGAGGTGTCTGGAAGGGGAAAAGATCTTAGGATTCAAGAAGAGGACAAACACAGTTATGGCTAAGGATATAAAATGGTCAGAATTGTAGGAGGCTTCTTAACAACCCCATGAGAAAGCAGACAGATACAGAGAGAACAATCTAGAAGGGCTTTCCCTCCAGCGTGATGCAACCTGACATGTGATCAGAAAGTGGAGCTCTGTGCCTTTAAGTAATGATTGTGCTTTCTGTAATTATGTTTGATTTCTGTGTATTTATTTATGTATTTTTGTATTCCGAAGCCAGACTAATAAAAACTCTTTCTTGCCAATCCTATTTTGTGCTTTCTCGGCTGACCAAGGTATGCTATTTCCAAGTCTACCAGGGGTGCATTTTTTCCCCTATCATTTAAGAATTGCCCTGAAATTGAAGTTATTTCATTTTTAGTTCTGCAGAGTTGCTGTTTCCCTTTATAGCAAATCCAGAGTCAGTGCCTTCCTGAGCTGAGGGAATGTCCCTGCCATCTGACCTGAGAGGACCCTTTGCAAGGACATTGGACCACATTGTGCCCTCTTTAGGGGCTAGTGCCCGGCTGCTTCTACCTTCTATCCTGGAATCAACTTTACTGGTTTGCCCAGAATGATAAAATACAACTCTTAGCTGGTAGAGCCATGGGCGTCCCATCTCATAGTTCCAGCTCTCGTTCTATTGAGGTATTTATTTATTGGTATTTATTTATCCAGCCATATGTATAGACATGTGCTAGCCCTTGGGGTTGGGGAGTTTCAATTAACCTTGTGTTGCCTCCCCCCAACACTGCTCAGTCTGGCCCACCTTATAAGAATGAAAAGTTAACTTCAATACCATTAAAGGTTAAAATGTTCAGGATATGTGGTGCCCTGGAGTGAGAATGAAAGAGATGGATCTGTGAAAGAGGATCACCAGGAAGACTCAACAGAGAAGCACTTCTGGCCCTAAGTGCTTGCTCATTCCCCTGTGGTGCCTCCCACGGAAAAGCTCGTGGTAGGATCAGAGGGAGTGCAGTTTAATTCCCTGCAATCTTGAAAATCCAAGTGAGCCCAATCCAGGCATCCTTCCAATGGCAGGGTAATCGTAATAGGGGTGTTTGCGTACAGTTCTGATTTTCAGTGTCCCCTGAAAATTGTGGGGACAGCACACAATTCTTCCACTTTGCTGCTAGACTGGAGGGCCAGTGAGAACTTCCTGCCATCCTACCCCGACATGTGAAACACCTTGTTATAAGCGTACACTTAACAGCACACAGTAGGTTAACAACAATTATTGGTCCTCAAACAGTGTCTTTCACCTATAGTTACCAAAGCACTTGACGGGCTTTTAATAAACAATACTAATCAGGAAAAATAAATAATTCCATTTCATAAGAACTCAGGACCTTTCCCAGAGCTTCTAGCCTGCCTGGGAGCAGTTCAGATGTCCTGGTTCCTACTATACTCAGTGTTTTTCTGACATGACCTCTTAGCATGTGATTAATTTCGGTGCATGAAAAGGAGAATTTTTCTTTTTCAAAGATATTCTCTAGGACAATCCTCTTCCTAGGGAATCTAGTCACTACAAAATGTGTCAATATCTGAGCAAAAGATCTCAGGTCTAAGAATCAGAATACAAGGCCTGGACCCAGCCAGTCTATGATGTGACCATGTGACCTTGAGCAGGACAAAGACACAACCTGTTGGTTGTCCAGTGAATACTCACTCCCAACGGCCTTCTTCCCTGATGACCTTCTTCAGCTTTAAAGGTTGAGAAGCTAAGCAGTCACTCTCTCAGTCACCTTTGCTGCCCAGCAAAGCCAGGAAACCCAGTTCCAGCCAATGAGATGGAAGAAAATCCTGCTGCAGGATTGTTGAGAAACTTTGATTTTTCTAATAAAAGACAGACCCATGGCTAGCATCTCCCTTTCCTTTTTTCTTCCTCTCTTGAGAAGGTAAGAGTTGAGAAGCTTTAAGAGGACACCTCGCACCCAGGATGAAACCCATCACACAGAAACTACAGCTAGAAAGTCTCAGGGCCCTTGAGTCATCACGGTCAAGGCACTGAACCAACCCCTATAAACTCCCTGCCCCAGATATGATCAAGATACAGTTATATTTGTTTCTTGTTATTGTGAATATAAATAACATAAAATTTACCATTGTAACCATTTTTAAGGGCACAGGTCAGTGGCATTACATACATTCACATTGTTTTTTTTTTTTTTATTATTATTGGTGAGATTTATTTTTCTTTTTTT